CCCTGGCCTAGACCCTGCGGAAGCTTCCAAGCAAGGGCCTGGAAGTTCCCTGAAGTTTCCCTGTAGGGAAACAGGCTGGGGCGTGTAGGCCCTGTCAGAAGGAAGCTTCCAGGCAAGAGTCTGGAAGTTTCCCTGTAGGGAAACAGGCTGGGGCCTGTAGGCCTTGTCAGAAGGAAGCTTCCAGGCAAGAGCCTGGAAGTTTCCCTGTAGGGAAACAGGCTGGGGCCTGTAGGCCCTGTCAGAAGGAAGCTTCCAGGCAAGAGCCTGGAAATTTCCCTGTAGGGAAACAGGCTGGAGGTCCGGGACGGGCCCTGCAGGGCCCGTGTGGCTGCACAATATGCCACAGTCGCAGACCAGCAAGGGGGAAGGTGGGTCTCCATACTTGCGATGTTGGAACTGGAATTGATCTGCATTATATGCGTGTACGCACCAAACCAGGAAAGGGACAAACGGGAACTTTTTGAAAACCTTCGCCAACAGATCCCTGTTGGCGTGCCGGTAATCCTTGCAGGAGATTTCAACGCCGCCCCTGATCGTACATTGGATAGGTGGAGAATCCCCACCCCCTGTCCCCCATACATAGAAACCGACGAAAAGATAATCGAGGAGTTGAACTCCTCGCTTCACCTTTTCGACACCTTCAGGAGAATCTTCCCAACCGAAAGAAGATACTCCTGTTTCCGCACGACGAGGGCAGAAACGCGTCCCAGGTCCAGAATTGACTTGATTCTGATGTATGAGGACCTAGCAGGTGCTATGCAGTTCGCCTACCTCGTCCCCCGCAGCCCCTTCATGGGGTTGGACCAGGGTGGGGTCACTCTCACCTTTCGTCAGAAACTGAACCATGGTCCAAGCTTCTTTAAACTTAACACCTCACTTCTACACAGACAAGACTTTGTCCACCTGATTCATGATGTTTGGCCCTACTGGCACCAGCATAAAAAATACTTCGAATCTGGAGTCACTTGGTTCAACAACGGGCTCTTTTTCCTAAGCCGTAAAAGCAAATAATTTTCTAAAAAATTGGTTGAAAAACGTTATCAAGAGGAAATGGAGGTTCAATAGATCCAGGATCTTCAACAACAAAACCCCACCCCGCAACTACAAAACTTGCAAAATAAACTACTCGATTTTGCAACTTATAGATGGCAAGGCATAAGGATTAGAGGTAAACTCTCCAAACACATTACGGAAGGAGCCATGGATTTTGATTTCTTTGGCCTGGCAAGGGCCAGGGGAAAGAGGCAGACCATTAAGGCCTTCCTAGACCCCACCGATCCTGAGAGACCGCTGGCCACCTCCACACCTCAATGTATGAAGGTGGCCAGAGATTTTTACAGAGCCCTTTTCACCTCACAAACTAAGGACACCAGCATCATCACAAGAGATCGAGAGATTCAAGACTTCCTCAAACCCCTAACCTATTCACTCCCCCAGAAGGTACACGTGGCTGTAGACCGCCCTCTCATCAGGGAAGAGATATGGACTGCTCTTCTGCAGATGGAGGAGGAGAAGACCCCTGGAGTGGACGGGTTTCTGAAAGAATTTTTGGAAACTTTCTGGTCATTGATGGGGGAGGACTTGATGTCTTTCTACGAGAAGGTATGGCAGGAAGGAGACTTGGGGGAAGCAGTGGGCCAAGGGGTTCTCACAGTGTTGTATAAAAAAAGTGACAAAATGAATATTCGCAACTATCGTCTAATCACGCTATTAACAGTTGTCTATAAAATGTTATGTTAAGCATTAGCGAACCGTATGGCTCCGGCATTGGAGCAAATCATACACCCTTCACAAACTGGCTTCCTTAAAGGGCGGCGTATCCATGATAACATCCTCCTAGTTAATGAGCTTTTAAGATTATCTCGACAGTCGAGGTGCAATGCCGCCTTTATTTTTATAGATTTTGAAAAAGCGTATGACCATGTGGATTGGCATTTCTTGGAGAGAAAATGAACTTTGGAGAATCCTTTCGGAGATGGGTGAGTATTCTCCACCAAAATGCCACCACACGTGTATAGGTGAATGGAAGCCTCGCCCCGGATTTCCCTCTACAAAGATCTGTCCGCCAAGGAGACCCGATCGCGCCATACCTCTTCGTGGTAGTGATGGAGGCCTTGGCGGCCAATCTTAGAGCCAACCGGAACATCAGTAGAATCAGGACGACCTCCATCCCACAAGACGCATTGTAGGTGTGTTCGCTGTTTGCAGATGACCTCACCTTGATGGTGGAGGCCTCCACTCAGAATATGGAGAAAATTGAAAGGTTAATGGCCCGATTCTGCTCCATCTCTGATATGACAATTAATTGGGGTAGCAAAACATTGGGGTGGTGGATGCATCATGATGGTGGCAGACCCCCGGAGAGCCCAAAGGTGACATGGCTTCCCCGCGAAACCCCTATCAGAGTTCTGGGAATCTAACTCTCAGCTGAAGGAAAACCGGTTAGTGATGATAATTGGATAATGTCTCCGGCCCTGCAAAAGCTGGGAACATGGAAGGATAAAAACACATCTCTTCTGGAAAGGGCCCTAGTCATTAATAATGTGGTTTTGGCAACACTCTGGTATAAATCGGCAATTTGGCCCTTGACCAGAGTGGCTTCAAAGGCCTTGAGACGGCAGGTAGCAGCCTTCCTATGGAGACGTAACCACGAAGCCCATCATACCATTAGTCGGGTAGCTTGGGATGCAGTGGTGCAGCCAAAGTCGCAAGGTGGTCTAGGGATACTCGACCCAACCACCCAAACGACCGCCCTTTTCACTCCAATGGTTGAAGCGATTTATCTGCACCCCCGGACTTACCTGGGAGGCTGGGAGCCCCTGGCCTGGGAACAACTCTCGAGACTGGCACCAAAGGTTGCTTTTGGTGCTTCCACTATACACCCAATGACATGGTTAGACGATGTTTTTTGGGCACTTCCCAGAACCCCCGCCCGACCACAACCACACTCAGATCGGGCAGCAGCTCGTAAGGACCAGAGGAAGGACGGGTTTCGGATCAACCTAATTAAAGACTGGAGGAGGCTCCCACTTCCGGATAGACCATTCCCTGAACGTTGGGAGGAAGTTCTGCGCCAGCCTCTATTTGGAAACTGATGGGTAACAGATCAGCAGAGGCGTGTCTTTCTCAGCTCAAGCCATCCGTGGAAGGGATGAGTGAGAAATGGGGTCACGAGGGTAGGGGATCTCTGGGACCAAACCAGGGCTAACTGGGTATCAGAGGAACAATTGAGAACAAAGCTCCCCCACTGCCAAAAAATAGGTGAGAGGCTGGACCAGATTCTCTTTGCCCTCCCTCTTGCATGGCTGAGGACCCTTCGGCGAGGACCGACAGTGGAGGCAGGTGATTGGGTTGTATTAAGAGGGGATGCAACACGTATAGTTCAAGTAATTATAGACAGACCAGGGGAAGTGCTGCCAAGCTTTTTCTATCGAGCACAACTGAATGAACTGATCAGGGGAGTGTCGGACGAAGTTTTCTGGATTGATGTTGGAATACTCCATAGAGTGAGGGTCCTACAAGAAGGGGACTCCTGGGTGGCATTCAGACCGGAGGTGCCAATCCAGGACCTCCCCATAGATGCAGCTGAGTGGAGATGGAAGATTCCAACGAGGAATGGCATACCGAAATATCGWTATCTCCACTCATTGGGGGTTAAGGCCTCCTATCAGATGCTTAGGACCAGAATCAACTTAAAGGACTGTATAGTGGATCGTTGGGCAAGACATTTAAATGTCCCATTGAATTCACCGACACCAATTAAATGGTTTAAAGGAATTAAATCCAAACCAGCCAAAACTGCCTCACTCCAATGGCAGATCACCCATCGCTGCCTACCCACAAATGCATGGCTCATTGACCATACCCACCAGGAACAGAAAGGTGTGACCCTCCCCTGGTGCCTGGCCTGCAAAGGAGGTTTTCCTTCCCGAAAGGTTAATGAAACAATAGAACATCTCTTCTTGTAGTGTCCAACTTCAATCTTGATTTGGCGGGGGTGGGTTCGGATTTGGAACCAGCTAGGGACAAATACAGATTGGCCGTGGGAATGAAGAGCCTTGCTGACCGGTCATTGGAACGCTCAAACCTCAACCTTCACGGCCAACTTGTTCAAGGCCGGGAGGGATGCGGTCCTATGGGCCATATGGCGTCGCAGATGCACTTTAGCACTTGAAGACGCCCATGTGGAAAGCGGCGAGATGATGGACATGATCAAAGACATGATAGAAACAACAATCAGAGCCCAATGGAAAAGAATTGTACAAACAATATTAGCCCTCACCAAAAGATCAGACATTGTTCAAAAACTACATGAATTCTGCATGGACTGGCTGGGGGGAGAACAGGGAGGATGGATAGCAAAGATTCTGTGGGATGGTTGGCACCTGGATGGCAACGATCGGCTGGATACATCTCAGTAAAACTACCGATTGACCCTCCACGATTGGACTGCAATTCCTAGCAACAACCCGCTCCCCCCTGCCTCTGAATTCCCTGACCTCTTTGCAATCAGACTCGTACTCATTCACACTTTTCATGCATATAAACAACAAAGCAGCAAACAGGCGACATGCGCCCAAACAAAACTCAGAGATATGGCTTCCATATATGAGTTCACTTTCAACTGGCTATCGCGACTCAGCGCCCAAACAACTCACTGTTCACACACCGGATCACCCTGGATACCTCACACGCGATACTTTGAACACTCGCACATACACACATACACTTCACTCTAACTACAGTTATGGCAGCTATGGCTGCCTCTACCTTATCGCTATACTAGGCTCCTTCTTCTCTCACCCACTGCGTCCTCCAGGCTCACTGCAGACCTCCTTGCACAAGTCGCTTGTGGCAGCGCTTCCGCATGGCTCACGCAGGAATCAATGAAAGGTTGGGCTCTGCCTCTTGATTTATACTTCGGAAACTCGTTGGTCTGCCCTTTGCCATCGGCCCATGGTGCTCAAAGTCCCCCGTGGTACTGGCTGGACCGGACTGAGACTGACTGGACCTTACCGCTGACTGAATGTGGACTCACTGCTATCCTACCGTCGTCGTACTGCGATTGCACTGCAGTTTAGTCCACCACTTGCCTCGCCACGTGACCACTTGCCTAGCTTCGAGAAGGACTACGGCTAGACTTCTGGAACTCGCTAAGACTCCAACTCTAAAGATCTACAGTTCGAACCCCTGCTATCTACGGACCTATGACCGACCTACCAACTGTCTACGAACACACAGGTCACAGGTTCAACTCTTGGGGYTTACACCGATACTGTACATGGGTAGGAGGAGGTCTAGGGATCGAACCCTGGGTACTGCATTTGCTACTGCTAAAAGATGAAAACTGTTTCACTCCCGCCGTCCTAAATTCGAGGTCCTCCGAGAATGTTTCAGTCCAAGGCAGGACCTTTACCCTTCTTATCATGCTCATAGGCTCTGACTATGTCGGGAGCTGTTTCTAGGAGTTCTCTTCTTGTGAACCAGTGGTCGTCTTCCGGTTCCTGATAAGCAAACCGGACCTTATACTGTTTCTGTGGACGACCTCTACCTCCTATTGTAAAGACATCTTCGTCTACAATGCCTTCAATGTCGTAGCTTCCATCCATATCCAAGGGGATCATGGATCTTCTTGAAGGGAACTGTTGACTTGTGACACACGACAACAACTTTGAAGCATGAAACACAGGGTATGTGTGGAGGTGTGCTGGAATCTCTATAGTGTAGGACGGTCCATCCTCTCCGCCCTTGACTTCTAGAACCGGCCACGGTCCTCTATATGCAGGCAGTAACTTATGCGAGATGTTCTCCTCAGGTGCAAACTTTTTAGCCTTGACCCAGACTAAGCCGCCTACCTGAAACTGCGACGGGCAGCGGTGCTTATTAGGTTGCTCTATCATTCTATGCTGGGCCTTCCTGAGGTTCTCAACAACAGTTGCTAATTCTTTCTCATGCTGTATCGCAAACTCCCTGGTACCGGGCGGTAGCCTGTGAATCTGATACCGGTGCAGTCCTTCGAACGGTCTGCGCGGTCTAAAGGATTTGTGCAGTTCATTGGGAATGCGGCAGGTGGACAGATGCACACTGTTGTTGTATGCATTAGCTACCTTAGGCAACATCTCATCCCATTTGATCTGATCTGGTCTAATGTACATACGCAGAACTTGTTGTAGGATCTTGTTCATCTGTTCTGTCTGACCGTTGGTCTCTAGATGACGGCCAGACGACATTAATAGCTTAGATCTGTAGACTCTCATGAGTTCTTGCCAGTTCTGGCTGGTGAAACGACTATCTCTATTGCTAACTATTGACAATGGGATTCCATTCTCACTAACCCAAAAGTCAAAGAACTTTTGTATAACTACGTCTGTACGTGCCTCTGCAGGCAAAGGAACAAAGACTGCATACTTACTAAAGCGGTCAACTATGACCATGACTTGGCTCTTACCATGTCTGCTCTTGACTTGGGTGTCCATGAAGTCTATGGACACTGAGTCTCCCGACTGATCCGGAATAGGCAAGGGTCTGAGAAGACCTAGGGGCGCGCGTGTAGTAGACTTGTTCCTCTGGCACACTTTACAACTGCGGGCATACTCTCCGCAGTTATTCTTTATCCCTGGCCAGGTGTACGCACGCATCAGATTGGCTAATGTCTTTTGCCAACCGAAATGCCCTTCAGTATCGTGACATTCCCCTAAAATCAGACTGCAGATGTCCTCGCTATTGGGAACGCACAAGCGGTCAAACACATTAATCTTCTCAAACAACAATCCGTCTGTAGTGCGGCGATCTGGCTCAGTCTCTGGGGCCTCTCTAACTCTCTTTAGGACATCGCTATACGCATACGCTTGCTTCACTTTCTCCTGCAGGTCTCTCCCTATATCCAGATAGTGTACTATGGCTCCAAAGTAGTCTGATATCCTACTCAGAGCATCCGCAACTACGTTGTACTTGCCCTTTACTAGCTTAAGCTCAAAGTCATATTGGTCTACCTCTGCGGTCCACCTAGTTAGCTTAGGTGTCATCTTGGCCTGGGTCTTCAACCATCTAAGTGTTTCATGGTCAGAATACACTTTGAAGTGCCTCCCAAGCAGGTAATGCTTCCAGTGCTCTAGCGCCTGCCTGAGAGCGTAGAGTTCTCTCTCGTACGTCGAGGTGGCTACCTTCTTTGAGGGCATCCTCGCGGACATGAACTCTATGGGTCTATAGCCATTGTCGTCATCCTGCTGCAACACGGCGCCTATCCCATGCTGACTCGCGCCCGTGGTGATGACAAATGGCAAGGACGGATCTGCTACTTTGAGGACAGGGTACTCTATTAACGCGCGTTTCAGTCTCTTTAGTGCAGAAGTACAGTCTTTGTCCGATTGCCAGATTGCCTCTTTCTTAAGCAACCTGCGCAGGGGAGCAGCGATAGTAGAAAAGTTCCTGACGAACTTTCTATAGTAGTTTGCTAGGCCTAGGAACGACCGCAACTCTGTCAATGTGCGGGGCGTCGGCTAGTCTCTAATCGTCGCGATCTTGCTGTCCTCTGGCTTAATGCCATCTCCGTCTAATACGTGGCCCAAGTACATGACTTGTGTCTTGGCCAACTCGCACTTCTTCGCGTTGATCTTGAAGTTAGCCTCTCTAAGCTTCTCCAAGACCTGCCTCAGATGACCCTGGTGCTCCTGGAGGGTCTTACTGAAAACTAGGATATCATCTAGATAAACTACTACAAACTTATCTAACCATGGTCTGAACAGATCATTCATACAACGTTGAAAGGTGGCTGGCGCGTTGGTTAGTCCAAAGGGCATCGCTATAAACTCATAGTGCCCGTATCTAGTCCGGAAAGCAGTCTTGTACTGGTCATCAGGATGGACCTCTATCTGATGGTATCCGGACTTCAAATCTATCTTGGAAAAATACTTGCAACCCTGCACCCGATCTAAAAGATCGTCTATCCTGGCAGCGGTTCAGCATTCTTTACAGTAATCGCATTCAAACCCCTATAGTCTATACACATTCTAAGCTCTCCTTCCTTCTTGGGAACAAACAAAACTGGTGTTCCAAAAGGATACGAACTAGGTCTGATCCAACCTTTCTCTAGGAGCTCGTCTAACTGCTTGCACAACTCCTCTAACTCCCTAGGGGACATCCTGTAGACTGCTCCCTTAGGAGTTCTACTGCCAGGCTCTATTTCTATCCTGTGCTGGATGGGTCACGACACTGCTCCTGTCGGCGACTCAGTTAAGTCTTTGAACTCTTCCAGCAGCTTGGCTATGGTTGAATCTGTGGAACTCACTTCTTCCTTAGCCTCAGTGGCATGTCTAACATAAACTACAAAGACATGTTCCTCTAATCGCTCCTTCTTTACTAATTGTGCGAACGAGGGAACACTGAGACAACAATGGGCCAAGGTGTTATCTACACCTGACACATGAAACAGGCGGGCAGTCTTAACATCGCCAAATGGACTAGGGAGCCTACACTCATGCTCTCTCAAGTGGAGTGTGGCTCCTGCTGCCTCTCCCCAATCCATTCCCAATACTACATCGAAAGGAAGGTCATCCTGTACGAGGAGAGTCAGGGAATGGAGAACTTTCTCCACCTTCCCATCTTTCTCTAGGTGAAAATACGCTTGGACTCCCTCCACGTAGTTCTCAACTCGCATCGTGCGGTTGTCTGTGAGGACACTGACTATAGGGTCTGCTAACTTTTGGACTTTCAATCCTAGCCTCAACTTCCTCAGCGCCCTACGGCTAATATAACTGCGGGTGGCCCCTGAGTCTATAAGCGCCCCTACTCTGCTTCTAAACACCTCTACGTCTACCAAGATAAGTTGTCCTTTACTCTCCTTCTTCATCTTGGCCCAGGCTGGCATCCTCTCCTTTAACTCTTCCGCCACACCTGTGAGGGACGTGCCTAAAGAGATGCTAACACAAGCAGTCTCTGGACAGCTATCTAGGCACGGACATGCAACCTCTGCCATAGGCTCATGTGGGTTGGGAGTGTCCTGTTCGCGCGTGCTCACTTCTCCACATGGCCTTGAAGTAGGGGCAGTTGCGACCCCTGCTGGCGGCTGCCTTTTGGCTGTTGGGCAGCCCAACGGGCCTGTCTATACTTTGGACAAAATTTTATTACGTGAGTTGGGTCACCACAAAACACGCACTGACCCTAGTTCACGAGTTCCTGCCATAACCCCTGGTCCAAGCCCAAATCTTCTCAGGGCCTGCCCTGTGGCACGCCTGGGTGCCATCCTCCTTGAGGTGCCCTTCCACCTTGTCTCTGTGGGGACCGATTACCCTGGCGATTTGGCGGGGGACCTTGACCCCTACCTCCCGCTTGGCGGTTTCCCTGTCCGCCAACCCCCTGTGCGCCCGGTCCACGGCCTCCCATTGCCTGGCCCATTTGGCCCTGGCCTCCTCCTCTACCTTGCGGCCTCCCTCCAGCCGCGACAGCAGCATAAGACCTCCCCTGTTCCATACTATTGTCCTCCTCCTCTAGGCCGCACTCAATCTGACTATATGGGACCTCGTCAGTACCACCTTCCTCTAACGTAAGGATCATGTGATCCTTGGCCCTCACCTAACCTGATATGGTACGACCTTTCCACTTCTTTCCCTTATCTAAGTCCCTGTGCCAGAAAGTGGTAACTGGCATRGACTTTGACTCATACAGGACAACTTCTCTACTCAATGCATCATAAGTGATGCCAACCTTTTGAGACTTGTCAAAGAAATGCCCACGTAGGGCCTCTGGCATGGCATGATAAAATAATTGGACCAACTGGGGCTCAGTGACCCCATGGTCTACGACGGCTACCAAGTCATCCATTGTACCCTTGAGTGCCCTGGCACTCCTCCACTGGCTTGAGTGGATCGTTTGTAGCTTGTCAGAGGCGCGAACGCCTCTCGTCGGGTCAGCGAACCGCTCCTTCAGGAGCTTAAGGAATTGAGGAAGGGGGGTGACTTTGGAGTAAGCAACCGGGTTGTTCTCACAACCGGCTGCGCACGCAAGGGACCTAGCGAAACTGGCCGCTTCATCTTTGAGGGCCTGAAAGGCCACGAGGACTTGTTCGTCAGTTAAGATATGCTGCAAATAAATGTAACTGTTGACACTGGTCTCCCAGTTGTCAAAGTTTTCCTCCTTCTTCCCCCCGTACACGTCTGGGAACTTGAGCTTTACAGGCTCCTTACGGGGTCTGACCTCGCCCTCTACAGCGGCTATGGTCTTGGCGCCCTCGATAGCGCCCTCACAAAACTTTCCTACATTGTTCCTCTGTTGCCTTACTTCGTCCCCAATATGGGTGACGATTTCGCGCGCAAAGTTCAGGCACCCAACGCTACGTCTTTGCTCCAACTGGCCTGGCGCTCCTCCATCCAGGCCTTGCTCAACACTTCCAGGGAACCCAACACCTTGTCTCACTTGGCCTTGTCGTCGGGTTGGGCCAACACTTCCTGCCTGCACTCCTGCACCTTTGCTACCTCTGCGGTCATTTTGTTCACTTCCTCTCTCCTCCTCTTCTTCCCCCTCTTCATCCTCAGCTTCCATGCCAACTTCTGCTCTTCCTCCCTTTCTCGCCGTTCCATTGGATCTGTCATTGTTGCTAGCTCACTGGCTAGCGCAGCCCTCTCATCCTCAGTCACGTAAGATTTTGCCTCCTCATCCTCTTCCAACGATAACTTAGCGACCCACTCGCTTATCTTCTTCTCAATCTCAACATCTGTATCCCTCTTCATCGTGCCACCACTACTCCCTTCTCCGCTCTCAATCCTCATTCTCTCTTTTTCTTCTTCTGCTGCTACTTTTGCTTCAGCAGCCTTTCTTCTTTCTTCCTCCTCCTGTTGAACCCTCTGCATCCCCTCCTCCAACCTCTTCATCTTAGTCGCCTGCTCCTCTGCGATAGCCTTTAGCTTGGCCTGCCTCTCGCGCTCTTTCCTCTCTCTGTTTTCTCTCACTAAGGCGGCCATCTTTTCTTGTTGCTCCTTACTGTAGGGGCTAGTGTCTAACCCACTACGGGTCTTAACCATGGTGACAAGTGTACAACCGGATTAGTGGTTCCAAACCTCACCACGTAGACTCTGACCCCTGACTGACAAACCTAAAGACTCAATCTAACTCACAGAATCCTGACAAGGATCCTGCCAACTATGGTCTCTAGCCTAGACCTAACTATGGCTGTCACTACTAGACCTTTGCTGGTTAGGAGGCATTTAAGGAGATCCCCCGAACTCCGCAGGAATTATTTAACGTCGCAGACAGGACGACATGATCAGCTTGGTATGGCCTATTGTTTCAACCCATAACTTAGCCTTTCGGGCCTACCATGCCACACCGAGCAGCCCGCCGGTCAGTACCGGTCCTTGGAAGGGTTTGACCTCCGGGACAGTCGAGTCGTCAGACACGGCCTTTATCCTTACTAGGTCCGGTAGGGGTTTGGGTCAACAAGGCCCTCAACACTTAAGACTGCCTGTTGTGTCAGCCCACAACTCCGTCGTTCAAGCCCACCGTGTCACGCCCAATCCGAGCCCCGCCGGTCAGCACCGGTCCTTGGGAGGGCTAGGCCTCCGGGACAGTGAGATTAGACACGGTATCAGCTCTACACTTCAGGTAGGGGTTTCGTCATCCTGGCCCTATCCTTCATCCACATAGTACTAGAAGAGACTCGATGCAGAAAGAATAGACAGACAGACTGGACTCAGCAAGTACCAAGGGGTGTGTGCACATCCATAGGGCTAGGGATAGGCTGAGGGCTTGGCGAGATGTTACCAACTCCAGCTTGGTCAAAATCTTGGTCAACGCCTTGGTCAATGCTACTATGGCCCCCGCTCAACCTCCGGTCAACTCCAGTAACCGCCAGTCAACACCTCCGGTCAACCCTCTGGGTCAACCCCTCCGGTCAGCTATGGCTGCCGGCTCGTCTTCCTCGCCAACCCTCTTCTTCCCCTTCACCTTCCTCGGCTCATTTCACCCCGGCTGTCTTCTTCTTCTTCTCTTTTTTTATTTTATTTTATCGGCCCTCTCTTCACCTCTCGGCTATGGCCTCCTTCTCTCCCTTCTCGGTCTCTCTCCCTCTGTCCAATCTCTCTCCCTCTGTCCAGTCTCTCTCCCTCCTTCACTACTCCGTGATGATACTTCGCGGCTATGGCCGCTTCTTCTTCTTCCAAGTGGGACTGCACAGGCCGCCTCACAGGTACGTAACAGCCAAATTTGTATCGCTCATCTCTCTCTCTCTCTCTCTCTCTCTCTCTCTCTCTCTCTCTCTCTCGCCGTAGCGGTATCTTCAGCGCAGCAGGTACGTAGTAACCCAAT